TTGGAACCTGACATACCCCTCCTTACATTAGAGCCAGTCTCCATACCACAAACCTGGCTGTCAGTGCTATATTCTCCTGAGAGTGCATCACCTTCTACTTTTTCCAAAATAGCGTACTTGTTTGAGATCGGCATAGGCACAGGAGAACCCTGCCTCCTGGAGGTAACCCATCTACCTGACTGTATCTTCAATTCATCTCCCTCCCTGCAATTGCCATCCATCACATCAATTGCCTAGCTCCTGTAAATTCCTCATTGCCCCTAACTGCTACTCCAACTGATCCATGAGATCTGTGTCTTGACCCATGTCAAAGTGCGGTGGCGTCTTGGTAACCACTAAGCATTTTTTTTCAAGCCTTCCTACAGCAAGTAATTGAGATCAATGTATCATTTAATGCCACTGGAGCAGTAACTTAAAGCGGGCCTCTCCGGTATATATCACTCACTGTCTTCCAGTGGGTTTTTAACTGCTTGAGCGGAGGAGCCCAGTTTCTGAGTTTAGTTGCCATCTTTTTGGGTTAGAAAACCTTTTTTAACATGAGGACTAGTTGAAGGCTGCTCTCTCCATTATCAGGAATCCCACATCAGAAAATGGTGACATCCACAAAATGCTGGCCAGACTGTGCTTTCATATTTTCATCTGAACAGTTTGAAGTTCTGGGAAGAACATAGTATCTAGTTCTGTGACCAATAACTCAACCATGCTTCAGTGACAAAATATCTTGCTATCACTTTTGATCATAAATTGATGTTTTAGAATCCCAACATGTTCATGGCAGCTCTCTGGAGGAGTAATTCAGCTAGTACAACTTCTCTCATCCTTTGTACCTGTCTAATTTCCTCTGACCCAATTGCCTCAATTACTTCCTGTGATAGTAAGTATCACATTCTAACCGCTGAGTAATAAAGTACGACTTATTTTACGATTTTATTTATTACTCACTGTCTTGTATTTAAGGTTGCTAGTTTTGGCTTCTCCCATAAATGAATCCTGTTCAACCCATTCACAATTTCGAAGATCTCAACTAGGTTATCTTTTAGTCTTTTATTTTCTACAGAGAGGAACCCCGACCCGTTCAATTTTTTTCCTATAACTGTAATTTCTTCGTTCTAATACCATCTTTGTAAATTATTTTTGCACTTCCTCTAAGTGTTTCTACTGTATCTGGGTTTTTATTATATGAATATTAGGAGTCTGCGCAGTATTAAGTGAAGACTCACTGGCCACAGCTTTAAGGAGCCAAGGTCAAGACCAGTGTGAATCTGATTCAGAAACCAGTGACTGCCACCTGGGATAGTAGGACCAACGCATCAGGAACCGCTTCACTCACCCTCGTCTACTAACACTCACCGTGGTCTACCAGTAGCATAGCATTGCTGCACTACATGGTTCTGGAGCTACCACATTAACATGGTAGATATCCTCCTGTAGGAACTCATAAGAGATTGAGACCAACACAGCTTGCGTAATTTCCTGTGTTTACTGTAGCACACATTGAAGCTCCTGATGTCTGCAAAACCATCCAACTCATAGAAGATCACCAACTGACAGCTAAGTAGCACTGTCATTATCACAAGACCTCCAAAGCAAAATCCACGCACTGGTCTGAAATCTCATAGTCCCTACTGCAACACACTCCATGCCCTACAAATTGACAACAGCCCTGCCCCTTGATGGTGCAGCTCCTGGTTGACAGTAAACATCACCCAGTGCTAGATGGTAACTGACCCAAGTGGTCTGGCCCAAGGTTACAAAGTTCCACAGAAAATCCTAACAATCTCAGCCTGCTGAGGATGCACAAGGGAAGATGTGATCATTTGCTATACAAATGGAACGTGAGGAACAGTCCAAATTGTGACTGTGACTGTCCAAGTCAAGCCATCATCCACATCCTGACCTCCTATCCAGATATCTAATCCCAGTGGTGTCACTATTCACACTGCACCAGCTGAATGGATTATTAACTTTGAAGTCGAATTATCAAACAAGCTTCCCCAGCCAGACAAATAAATAATCACTCATTTCAGGGTGATGCAGTTTTCTGACCCACTGTAGAAAGTTTATTGGCTCTTATCAGAAAAGGATATATTTGCCTCTTCTATATTATAGTTTAGAGTTTCATAGTGGAAAATATTCTTTAATATTGTTGCAAGTGTTTACCAGAGAATTGATTTTATGCCTATTTCTGATGCTTGATCAGTTCATTCCATCAACCAAATCAAATTATGAGCATGTTGTACTCAGGATGTTTTTATTTTAATGATAATTCATTGCTGTTGATCTTTCCTTCAGTCTTCACAAAATGACTTCACTAAAATGTGTGATTTAACAAACTGAAGTTGAGTTTCTGGACTCTCCACACTTAAAAGAAACATTATCTTCCACGTTTGGTTTTCCATGTTTTCTTTTGCTGTCAGAGTTACCACAGTAATACTGCCAACCATTTGGAAACTTTCTGGTGTGGTGCAGGCTGCAAACCCAAAAAATGCTACTGACTTGCACAGCCCCATCCTGAACGTTCACATGTTGAAATGGGCAAAATGGAAAGTGGTGCATGGGGAAATAAGTTTGTGCCTTTTTAAATAAAAGGTCCCTATCCCCATTTTGCATGCAAACTAACTTAGTTAAAGTAAAATGGTAGCCCCATTCTGTATGACACTATCAGCCACGATTTATATTTGAACTTAAGAGTAAGTTACTCAGTATTGAAGTTGGCAGATGACACCTAACCAGGGATGGGGCAGGAGTGCTGTATGGTGGAATGTTATAACTAATATTGAGGATGAATACAGCATAGTGCAAAAAGAGGTTAGAAAACCAACAGATTGAGCAGTTAAGTGGCATTTTGAGATAGATAAATGTGAACTGATGCAATAGTCAGTACCATCGTCACCTACACTTTGGAACAGGAGTTGCCAGCACATCAGTCGGGAGCAATTGGTAGCATGTCATCTGCCAATGAGTAGCCCGCTGTTGATGCTTGCAACCAACTTTGACCGTTGAGGTCAGTAACGGAGGCTGGCCACCAGCACTACCAGTGGTAGGAAGGACGGCAAGAGGAGGACCCCAGCCAGGAAGAAGCTGGGTGAGCGAAGGGAGGGTGGAACTATCACCAGCGACAGGATCCAGAGGCTAGTAGGGCAGGTCCATGTAGCCTGGAAAGCAGCCAAATAGCTTGTGATATTTTTATTTAATCAGAGGTACTCTCATTAACAAAAGGCTTGGCAATCCCTGACACTTAGAAAGTAAGACATTTAATGGGATACAAGAGCAAACGATCTAGAATTACAGGTGAATAGTAGTGTGCAGTTAGCATAATCAGATAAGCATTTTACCTCTAGGAGATATTAATTCAACAGTAATGAAAATCAAATTGCTCTGAATGTTACAATTCTGAAATAAACAGAAAATACTAGAGCTACTCAACAGGTCTGTAGAGAGAGAAACGAGTTAATGGGGTCAGAAAATACAGGATAGTGAGTAATAAATATAATCAGGAACTAAGGAGTAATTTATTTACTTGGTGTTTGGAATGTGGTACTCTCTACCTCAGGAAGTGGTTGAGGCAAATAAGTTAGAGCAGACTTGTCCAACAGTTGGCCCAAAGGCAAGAATGCAACCTGCCAAGGAGTCCTATCTGACTTTCGACCACGATTCTAAATGGAGGGATGTGGAAGAGTCTGTAAGCCACTGCCCCTTAATTTAGAGGCCATTTCTGTCCCATATTTGCTGCTGATGGGCCGTTTAATTGGAACAATTTGCAAACTGTGCAAAAATTCCTACCTTTGTATAAAATGTGCAACCAACTTGCAGAACACCCACATTCTGTCCGCAAAAATGATCCTAAGCTTCTTGCTGCCTGCCATTTCAGTGCACCACCATGTTCACTAGCGAACATCTTTGACTCAATGCAGTGCTTCAGCAAAACTCAGCGAATATTTTCCCGATTAGCAGCCATTGATTCTGCCAGGCTGACCTTTACCCATTCCTTTGCCTACACAATCGCTTTTCTGTCTGTCTGGGCTCCATCTCCACCTATTGTTTACATATCCCCCTCTCCCCACTCCATCTTCAACATATATACCAACCTTTTCTGAACTACAACAGTTCTGAGGAAGGGTCACTGGATCCAAAACATTAATTCTGCTTTTTTCCCACAGATTGTGCCAGACCTGCTGAGTTTTTCCAACAATTTCTATTTTTATCTTTACCTTCAGTCAGCCCAAGCATTAGACTCGCAAAATGGCAGTGAGTCTGCAGTCACTGGGGCATTTTGCTAGAGACAAGATTCCTGCTGGGTGGGTGAGGCAACGAGACTGGGAGTTGCCAAGTAGAACGGCAACCAGTTTGTCAAACTGGGCGTGGAAAGTGTCTTAGAGTTGAGCAGTAAGTTGGGGGTCAGACAAGACCTTGCAGGCCCTGAAAAGCTGCAATTTAAAAAAAAACAAAGCAGGCCTCCCAGATTTGTACAGCATGTGTAAGAGGGAGAGAGAGAAGGAAGGAGTATTGGAGTGAAGTTGTAGTTGTGCAGGAGGGAGGCTGTGAGACGGGAACTGAATGTATATTTGAACACTGAAACTGAGTAAGCCAGACATAACACACCTTTCCCTTCTTCATCCCCCCCACAAAAAAAAACTTCAGGAACATCCAGACTAAAAGTCAACTAATGAAAGCCCTCACTTTCATTTTGACCTCTGCAAGGCCATTTTGGAGTGTTTGCCACCAGAGGTAGATGTAGGAGCAGAAGTAGGCCATTCAGCCTATTGAGTCTTCTATGCCATTCAGTGAGGTCATTGCTGATCTGATAATCCTCAGCTCCACTTTCCTGTGTTGCCTGTTTCGAGAGACAACAGTATATACATAGATGAAAATACAGCAGTCACACTTAGAGCTCTGTAAAACTCAATTAATTTATTGCACACTTAAACAAATAACACATGCTTTTAACTACTAGGGGTATTTCAATCACTGTCTTTTACCACTCTAGGTTCTGTAGCTAACCCCTGAATATTATTACTTGGGCGAATTGGCAGCTGGCCAGGCTGGAACTTCTCTCGATGTCTTCAATATACCTCCTGACATAGGTTAGCTCTTGCAGTGTTATTCTTTGAAGCCCTGCTGAAAATCAGGGGTCTCTTGGGCTGCTTTATACACAGGTCTCCGTGCCAAGCGCATGACTCATTTAGAATTATCAGTGCATGTGACCAATCCAAATGTTTCATCGTTATTTGATAGAGACAGCAGTTACTGATTTCCTGCAATCTTAGCTCTTAGCAGACCTGAATGATTCAGCGTAATTCCATTCGCATAACAGTCCATTGTAAAGCTTCTTATCAGTTCTTGTTAATCTATAGCCTTATCCAACACTTGCCTTTTTCCCATAACCCTTTATCCCTTTACTGATTAAAAATCTACCTATCTTGACCTTGAATATACTCAATGATCCAACCTCTAAAGCCCTTTGCGATAAAGAATTACACAGATTCAATCACCCCTGAAAGAAGAAATTCTTGTAGGAGCAAATAACTGCAGATGCTGTAGTGAATCTGTACTGAAAACAACAAATGCTGGAGATCACCGCAGGTCAGACAGCATCTGTGGAGACAGCAAGCTAATGTTACAAGTCCTCATCTCTCTCTTAAAAGGGCGACCCCTTATTCTGAGATTGTGCCTTCAGGTCGTAGGCTCGCCCACAAGGGGGAACAGCCTTTTTGCATCTAACCTCTCAAGTCCTCTAAGAATCTTGTATGTTTCAATGAGGTCACCACTTAGACTCCTAAACCCCAATGTGTACAAGTTCAACCTATTCACCCTGTCGTCATAAGACAGTTCCTCCATTACTGAGATTAGTCTAGTGAACCTTCTCTGCACTGCCTTACCAAGACTTCCCTGTTTTAATGTTCTGTACCCTTTGAAATGGAGAAACAAGGTCAGTGTTACTTAAACCTAACTCCTTAGCTCAGCCCCAGTTCCCTTCTCTAATGATCAAGACTGGGGATTTAATCTGCTTCTTCCTTGCTCTGTTTCTTAACTAAAAAGGGAGAACAAGGTTTTATTAGTAAGCTCTTTGACTCAGTTTTAGTGGTTATTTTTTATTAATTACTTGTTTACTTAATTTATTGCACTGTAATTTTTTAAATGTATGTTTACCGTTATGCCAAACCTTATCTTTCTGAAATTTGCTTACTCTTGCACAAACACACATGCACATACACGATTGAAATGAGGCATGCCAAGTGAAAAGATTCGGCAAGTTTAGATTAGAGGCTTTCAAAAAGAAACTAGATAAGTACAAAATGAGAGAGAAGTTGGAATAGCTGAGTTACTGCTGCAAAGAACCAATATGGATAAGATGAGCTGAATGGCCACATGCTGTGCAGTTACTGTTCCGTGCTTCTACATGAGGGTAGGAGAATAAAAAGATAGGGTAAAAGGCTGAGATGCAATAGATAGAATGGGAGGAGACATATGTGGAACGTTGCAGTTGGCTCAGTTGAACGATCCCTATTCTGTGTGTTCTGTGTAGTTCAGAACAGCAAATTTCCTTGAAAGAAATACTAGGGGCCTTGCATTTAAGGTTAGGGGGAAAGTTCAAAGGAGATGTGAGGGGCAATTTTTTTACACAGAGAATAGTAGGAGTCTGGAACGCACTGCCATGGGTGGGGGTGGAAACAGATACAATAGGGGCGTTTAAGGGGCTTTTAGATAAGCACATGAATATGTAAGGAATGGAGGGATATGGACCAATGGCAGGTAGAAGGGATTAGTTTAATTTGATGTCATCTTTGGCACAACATTATGGGCTGAAGGGCCTGTTCCTGAGCTGTACAGTTCTGTGTTCTAAACACAAATTTAACTTGTTTAGTTTTTTTTAAATTTCATCTCACACAATGTTAATCCTGAGCTACTTGCAAGCAAGATCTTTATTTCACATTTTTGCATTCACATCTTGTAATTAGCAGCTTCATTTAGTCAAGATAACTTTAACACAAGTGAAATGAATTAATACATTAAAAACTAAATCCACAAAACATGGATCAGCAGACTTTTGAAGTACCCAGTACGCCTGGATTCAACGCATCACCCTCCGCCATTTCCACCACCTGCAATCTGACCCCACTACCAAAGACATTTTTCCCTCACCACTCTTATCTGCTTTCCAGAGGGACCGCTCTCTCCGTGACTCCCTCGTCCACTCCACACTCTTCACTAGCCCCCCCACCCCAGCACTTTTCCCTGCAACCGCAGGAAGTGCTACACCTGCCCTTACATCTCCCCCCACACCCCCATCCCAGGCCCCAAGAAAACCTTCCACATTAAACAGATGTTCACCTGCACATCTGCTAATGTGGTATATTGTATCCACCGTTCCCGATGTGGCCTCCTCTACGTCGGGGAAACCAAGCGGAAGCTTGGAGACCGCTTTGTGGAACACCTACGCTTGGTTTGTGACAAATGACTGCACCTCCCAGTTGCAAACCACTTCAACTCCCCCTCCCACTCCTTGGACGACATGTCCATCCTGGGCCTCCTCCATTGCCACAACGATGCCACCCGAAGGCTGCAGGAACAGCACCTCATATTTCGCTTGGGAACCCTGCAGCCCAATGGTCTCAATGTGGACTTCACAAGCTTCAAAATCTCCCCACCCCCGACCTCATCCCAAGACCAGCCCAGCTCGTCCCCGCCTCCTTGACCTGTCCGTCTTTTCTCCCACCTATCCGATCCTCCCACCTCACTGACCAACCCCCACCCACTTCCTACCAATAAGCCTCATCCCCACCTCCTTGACCTGTCCGTCTTCTCACAACTAACCAACTCCCTCCCAACTCCCTACCTACACTCACCTTTACCGGCTCCATCTCCGCCTCCTTGACCTGTCCATCTTCTCTCCACCTATCTGCTCCTTTATCCACCTTCCACCATCGCCTCCCCCTCTCTCTATTTATTTCAGAGCCCGCTTCTCCTCCCCCATTTCTGAAGAAGGGTCCAGACCCGAAACGTCAGCTTTCCTGCTCCTCTGATGCTGCCTGACCTGCTGTGTTCATCCAGCTCTACACCTTGTTATCTCAGACTCCAGCATCGGCAGTTCCTACTATCTCTGGGATAAAGAAGATATGTGATTTAAAAATATGCATGAAGTTTAGTTTTAACTCTTAATACTTAAAATTAGTGCCCAACAACAAGGTGTCCAATTGATGCAGTTTCCTTACTTGGTACAAAATTTCATCAGCCATACAATCTGTTAACTATTTCTTATTGTATGTAGCTACCCATTTTGGGCAGCACCCGAGGTGACTTACGTTTTGGAAGCTGCTCAGTGTTCCCATCTCAAACCGGAAAAACCTGCTCCCTGACTGCCGTGTGTAGTTTTGCATCTCCCATTGAATATAGACAAACAGGTGGCTGGAAGAACAGAGCAGGGTAATACCTGAAAAGTTGACTGCTCCTTTCCTCCAGATGCTGCCTGGCCTGCTCTGTTCTTCCAGACACTGGTTTGTCTACCTTGGATTCCAGCATCTGCAGTTTTTTGTCGCTTATCTCCCATTGTTTGGTCATTCTAGTTCCCTCTCCTAACTGGCAAAAGTATTTAAAACCTAATTGTTATCCAGGCACTAGCCTGATTTCCATGGCTATCACATTTAATCATTATCTAGTTTTTTTCCTCATTGTCCTTTCTAAGAATGTTGACATAATTTGTGGGATGATTTCCCCCGCAAATGTTTCTTTGTGCATTCTTGGTGCTGACTCTACATTTCTGGAGCATTAGTCTTTGTCTTGTTGAATTCTGTGATTCAAGCATGATGTGAGCACTCCTGTAAGCAGCCTTTCCTTGATGTCCTTTGCATTTAAAACCACATTCCTGCCATCCCTTTCCAGCAACGGCAAACACTAGTCATGCCTGTTACTGTAACTTGCAGTTTCACCCTCTCTAGGAAAACTCATCAGAAGTAATTGCAATGCTGTAGAGATTCTGGAGAAAATTCTGAAATAGCTTGGTCGTCCTGTGCTAACAGTGAGAGTCTGAGTACCTTCAAAGTACCAGGAGTACTCCAGTGCAGAGTATGATCGTGGACTTGTGTCACTGGACCATGAGTGTAAATCCTATGCCACAATTTGAAAGCTTAAAATAACTTTTGAAAATCTGGAAACAAGAAGGCTACCATTCAAAGTGACTATGAGGCACGTGAAAAAGTAATCTATCCTTTTAATGACTTAATTGTAACTCAAGTCCCACATCAATATAGTAAACTGTTATCTGCCGTCCGAAACGGCTGACAAAGCCACTGAGTCAGGCAATTATGGATGAAAAATAAATGTCAGCCTTGGCTGTATCTCACAAAACAAAGAATGTGGGGATCTTGGGCTGGGGGAGAACTATGTAGAGAATTGTAGATTTATGAAAATAGTTCCAGGGATGAGAACTTCAGTTATGATGATAAGTTGGAACTTATAAGTTTTCCTTGAAGATGAACAAGTTAAGAGGAGATTTGATAGAAGTTTTCAAAATCATGAGTGGTTTGCACATAGTAGATGGGGGCAAATCTCTTCATGCTTGTAAAAGGATTGAGAGCGAAAGGACACAGATTTAAAGAAATTTGCAAAGGAAGCAAATGCAAACTGAGAAAAAAAGTTTATACAGCAATTTGTCAAGATTTGGAATGCACAGCCTGGAAGTGTGTTGGAGGCAGATTTAGTTGGGACATTCTAGTATGTGCAGGGTTACAGGACACCGAGTGCTCATTCGGAGAGCTCATGTAGACACGATGGGCTGAATGGCCTTCTGCACAATAGCAATTTTCTGATTCTCAGTGCAGCTCACCCAAAACAGACAAAGAATGTTAAATTACACTCCACGGCAGCCGAGAAGGCTTAGCAGCTGACATGGACGACTACAGTTTATATGAAAGTCTTTTCTGCCAGGAGCATTGAAAGAGCTCCAATTCAGGCCTTGCAATACAGGGAAGCTCATTTCTCAAGTGAAGAGTTTCACTCGGAGCTTGACAGTGAGTAATCTCTCATCATCCCCATGTTCCTGTGATTTAATTGTCCATCACTGGCAAAGCAAAGAATTATTTGCCAACTTTATTGCCTGACTTAGTGGTCTTTTCAGCTACTTCAGAGGGCAGTTAACAATGCACCACATGATGTGGGACTGGAATTACAAATAAGTCATCAAACAATCTCTAATGACTTTTTCCCCCATAGTCTGACAGCTTTGCAGTTATTTGGACTGAATCAGTAACTTTGTTTCCAAATTTTTAAAACTGATTTCAAGTTCTCAAACTGCAGTAATGCTATTTGCATAATGCTGGATTATGTTGAGTGACATAGCAAATCCACCTCTGTATCTAGCACTGGAATTTTGTGGTTGATTGGATTTGGGGAGCCTGGCAAAAATAGAAACCTAGTGATGATGAAAATAAAGGCAGAGGTGGACAATATTGCAGAGGTAAGAAGTCCCTCGCATTGGGGAATTTGAAGCTTGGCTTAGTTTTGGACACCATTTCAGGTGGGGTTGATGGGAAACTGATATCAAACAATAGCAAGAGTCAGGCGCAAAGACAAGTGAAACACGTGCATGCGTACATTTCCTTTCATGAACGTGAATCACAAAGCAATTTATATCCATTAAAGTTTGGTTGAATGTACTTTTGTAATATAAGAAATGCAGCAGCTAATGTTACCTCAAACAACAATGAGATAATGACCAGGTAATGTCTTTCTAATGATGTTGATTGAAAGATAAGTATTGATCAGCACACCATGGAGATGAAATTTAGGGATAAGCAAGCAACAAGTTGATGCCGACTGGACAGAATGTCCTTGGTGTTGCTTAGGACTGGCATGGTTTACATAAATGCTTGACAATTTATGCCTAATCCTAGAGATGTGTTTCATTGTGCTCAGTACAGAAAGCAACAGTGATTTCCCTACACTGTTAGCTTGAACATAACACTGAGTTACAATGCCTCTTCTGGGTCTTTTTATGAACTTCTTTATAGTCCTGGACCAGTTCTACTTTGCTAATTCAGATTTCTATCAGGAATCTTATTCAGATAACCTTTACCTTGAAAGATAAAAGCAATAATTGTCAAATAACTTTCTGGGTACAATCCTTCTCCACAGAGTAATGCCTGACTTTTCTTCTTCTGTACCTTAATTAGAGCTTATTATAATGTATTAATGTGGTGCCTTTAACACGGTAAAATGCCCCAAGGTGCTTCACAGAAATATTACCTAGCAAAATTTGATAGTAAGCCATGTAAAAGGGATACTTGGACAGATGCTTGCCAGATATAAAGGAGGAAAAAATTAAATAGGCTGGAGTTATTTCTTTAGGAAAGAGGAGATTGAGAGGTGGCCTGATAGAAGTCTTTAAAATTATGAATGGATTTGATAGGCTAGACGTAGGAATGACTTTTCACTAACTGGGGAGTCTAAAACTTTGGGCCATAGGAATAAGATAGTCATTGTAAAGCCAGTAAGGAATTAAGAAGAAGCTGTTTTACACAGACCGATTATGATCAAATTTGCTCCTGTAAAGTGCATGGAGATGTTAAAAGGCGCTCTATAAGTGTTGCATGTTATTGAAGTAAGAGCAATTGAGGTGAATGTCATCAATACCTTTAAGGGGAATCTAGTTGAATACATGAAGGAGAAAAGATTAGAAAGTTATGTTGACGTGTGATGAAGTAGTCCAAATGGAAGCTTGTCTGGGACCATAAAAACCTGTGCAGACAAGTTGGGTTGAATGGCCGGTTTCTGTGCTGTAAATAGTGTGTAAATCTATGTGAATATTTTGTGCATGAGATGCAGGATAAAATGTCTTCATGAGTGGGTGGGGTCAAAAATGACAGTGAGAGAGAAAATACAGTCTGCAACTTAGTCTCAGGTGTCCATTTTGATTTAGGGGGAGGTGATTGACTGGTGATATTACCATTAGACTATTAATCCAGAGACCCAGGTTCAAATCCTGAAATGGCAGTTGGTGGAATCTGAATTTAATAAAAGTCTGTGATTAAGAGTCTAATGACGACCATGGAGCCATTGCCGATTATCGGAAAACCCATCTGGTTCACCAGTGTCGTTTAGGGGAGGAAATCTGCCACCCTTACCTGGTCTGGCCTACATGTGACTCCAGACCCACAGCAATGTGGTTGACACTGAACTGCCCTCTGGGCAAATTAAGGATGGGCAATAAATACAGGCCTGGCCAGCAACCTCCATGTCCTGTGAATGATTGAAAAAAAATGTACATTTATTCCCTTGCCTTATTTTCCTTTAGAGCTCTTGTAGCACATCCTAGGTTACAGTAGAGTCATAGAGTTGTACAGTATGGAAACAGACCCTTCAGTACAACTCATCCATGCTGACCAGATATTCTAAGTTAATCTAGTCTCACTTGCCAGCATTTGGCCTATAACCCACTAAATCCTTCCGATTTATATACCCATTCAGATGCCTTATAAATGTTGTAATTGTACCAGCCTCCACCATCTCCTCTGTCAGCTCATTCCAAATGCATACGACCCTCTGCACGAAAATGTCATCCCTTAGGTCCCTTTTCAATCTTTCTCCTTCCAACTTAAAACTATCTTCTCTAGTTTTGGATTCCCCTACCCTGGGACAAAAACCTGACTATTCATCCTATCCATGCCCCTCATGATTTTATAAATTTCTACAAGGTCACCGCTCAGCCTCTGACTGCCCAGAGAAAATAGCCCCAGCCTATTCAGCCTCTCCCTATAGCTCAAACTCTCCAACCCTGGCAACATCCTTGTAAATCTTTTCTGCACTCTTTCAAGTTTCACAATACCTTTCCAATAGCAGGAAGATCAGATTTGAACACAGTATTCCAATAGTGTCCTAACCAATGTCCTATACAGTCACAACATGACCTCACAACTTCTATACTCAGTGCACTGACCAATAAAGGCAACCGTTTCAAATGCCTGCTTCACTACCCGGTCTACCTGCAATTTCACTTTCAAGGAACTATGAACCTGCACCGAAGGTATCTTTGTTTGGCAACATTGCCCAGGACCTTATCATTAAGTGTGTAAGTCCTGTCCTGACTTGCCCTGCCAAAATGGAGCACCTTACATTTACCTAAATTAAACACCATCTGCCATTCTTTGGCGCATTTGCCCATCTGAACAAAGTCCCATTGTAGACTGAGTTAACCTTCTTTGCTGTCCACTACACCCCAAATTTTGGTGTCATCTGCAAGCTTACTAACCATACCTCCTATATTCACCTCCAAATCACTTATGTAGATGATGAAAAGCAGTGGACCCAGTACAGATCCTTGTGGCACACCGCTGGTCACAGGCCTCCAGTCCGAAAAGCAACTGTCCACCACCACCTTCTGTCTCCTACTTTAGAGCCGATCTTGTATCCAAGTGGCTAGCTCTCCCTGTATTCCACATGATCTAACCTTCCCCCTCCACTTAATTGCAGGTATTACTTACAACAAACGCTGAATGACACAGTAGGGAAGAAAATTGTCATGGATTTCCTGGGTTTTAACTGGAACTGGATTAACAAGCAACAGACAAAGCGGAACTGGGGCCAGCTCACATCCAACCTGCTGCTTGTAGGAATGGAAGGTTGGTAGTCACTTTTTTTCCAGGATCATTTATACTTGTGTTCTATACTTTAACTTTTCAGATTCTTAAAACGTCTTCAATTTATTGACATGTCAGTCGTCCTAAGTAATAAAACTTCTCCACAATAATAAAATGTATCAGTTTAAAAACTATGAGGTTTAATACTTCTTTATTTCAGTGTTGCTGAAGAAGAAAAGATTTGCAGTCCACGATTTTTGTCTTGCAGTCATCAGAGCAAAACTCATCAAGACAAAACTAAAAGCCCTGTACTTTAATATGTATAGTATTCATAATAAACAAATTGATAATGCACATTGAAGTAAATAAATATGATAGCCTTTACAGAGAGGTGACTGCAAAATGATGAGGATTGGATTCTGAATATTGAGTGCTATATGATATGCAAGAAGAGTAAAAAGCTAGGCAAAAGAAGAAGAGGCAGTACTGTTACTCAAGGGTAACATTGATGCAGTAGTTCGAAATGACCTTGATCAGAAATCAGAATGTAGAATCTGTTTGGATGGAAGGGAGGAATAGTGAGAAAATAGTGAGTAAAAGGCATTAATGGGAGTGGTCTACTGGTCCCTGAACAATATCCACAATGTAGGGCAAAATATATAAGAATAAATATTTGGTCTTTGTGATAAAGGGGTGACAATAATCATGGGTGACTTTAATTACATATAAACTGATAAAATCAGATTGGCAGTAGTGACCTGGATTAAGAGTTCATAGAATGCTTTTGAGAGTTTCTTAAAGTAACACATTCTGGAACCACCCAGAGAGCAGGTTATATTGGACTTGGTATTGTGTAAGTGATAGAATTAATAATGATCACAGAGTAAAGGTAACCGTAAAGTGAATGCAGTAATAATTGATTGAATTTTATACCCAGTTTGAAGGGGAGAAGAGTGAGACTATGACTAATATTTTAAACCTGAATAAGTGCAACCATGAGTACATCAAAGTAAGCTAGCTGAAGTGAATTAGTATATTAGGCTAGGGGATTGAGCAATAGAGATGCAATGGCACATATTTAAAGAGATATTTCAGAATACACAGACAAAATATATTTTTACTATGAAGAATAATTCCAAAGGGAGGAGTCACATCTGAAGGTAACAAAAGAAGTTAGGGGAAGCATCCAACAAGTGAAAAGCATATGTTTATGCAAAGATGAGCAGCAGACCAGATAATTGATCAGCATATAAAGATTGGCAGAAAATTACTTAAAGATTAATTGCGGGAAGAAATTAAAGTACAAGGGAAAGCTAACTAGACATGCAAAAACAAATAGAATTCCTGCAGGTTTTTAAAGAGAACAATACGTGAAGTGAGTGCTAGTCCTCTAGAGAGTAAGCATAGGGAGTCTATAGTAGATAATAAGGAAGTAGCAGATGAAATGATAGAATATGTTGCCTCTGTCTTTACGGTGTAGATACAGAAAGCATTCTAGCAACACCTGTAAATCAGGAACTAGGAGGGAGAGAGGAACTTAATGAAATTCTAATCGTGAAGGAAATGGTACTAAAGAAACTGATGAAGCCGCAGACTGACAAGTTTCCGGGCCAGATGGACATCATCCTAGAGTCTTAAGAGAGGTTACTAATGAGGTAGTAGATGCGAAGGTGATAATTTTCCAAAATTCCCTAGAGTCAGGAAAGCTTCCATCAGACTAGAAAGTATGAAATAACAATTTCACCAGGAAGTACAATTAATGCTAACTCTTTTAATTCAAGTAGCTTACTTGAAATGATATTTTTTGTTTAAAATAAACATAAGGAGCAGACCAAACAACAACAGAACCTTTTTGAATTACCACTGCTTCCTCAAATGATGTAAAAAACTCTCAAACTACTCAATTTGATGCTGCAATGGGACAACTGTGAGGATCTTTCTAGAATGATAATTTTAAGTTGAAGTTTGAATGGCCTTTGCTCACCACTATTTATGTAATGATCGAAGTAAAGGGAAACTTTAATCCTTTTACATAACTTGAAGCAGTGGAATCCAAGAAAAAAGTTCCATTGTTGGTTGGTCTGCTGCTGATGTTTATTTTAAACAAAAAAAATCATTTGAAGTAAACTACTTGAATTAAAAGAGTTACCATCAATAGTTCTTCCTGGTGAAATTGGTGTAATTTCTTCTGACCACTTACTTAGATTGCTACTCCATTGCATTGTTTGTTTTTCCTTTCTTCCAGGGAATGTCACACCAGCACACTATGACGAACAGCAGAACTTTTTTGCACAAATTAAAGGTTACAAACGTTGTATTCTGTTCCCACCTGATCAGTTTGATTGTTTATATCCATACCCAGTCCATCACCCGTGTGATAGACAGAGCCAGGTAAGATATCCTTTAATCAATTATTCTATTGGAAGTAATTGCATGAAGTCGCCACCAAACTTCCCAAAGTAGTTGTTCTTATGTACATAGGAATATAAGGAGTAAGAGGCCATTTGGCCCGTTAAACATGCTGCTCCTCAGTGATATATTCTGAAGCATGGTGTCAGTATACCCAAGTACACAGAAGACACCAGTTCTATCATACCACCATCTTTGTCAACCCCTCAACTGTCTTTAAATTGTAAGTTCCTTGACTAGTCCTGAGAGCACAGAAATTCCCTACAAATAAGTATTGAGTAAATCAAAGATAGTAGGAACTGCAGATGCTGGAGAATCTGTGATAACAAGAAGACCCTTTCTGAAGAAGGTCTAGGCCCGAAACGTCAGCCTTCCTGCTCCTCTGATGCTGCTTGGCCTGCTGTGTTCATCCAGCTCTACACCTTGAGTAAATCAATGCCTTGTTTTCATGAAGATCCCACCTACTTAATCTCAGCCCTCACCTGAGGCATGGTGGCTGACTCCTGAAAGCCTGTCCACCATCTACAAGGCACCAGTCAGGAGTGTGATGGAATACTCCCCACTTGCCTGGATGGGTGCAGCCCCAACATCACTCAAGAAGCTTGCCACCATCCAGCACAGAGCAGACCCCTTGATTGGCACAACATCCACAAGTGTCCATTCCCTCCACCACCGATGCTCAGTAGCAGCAGTGTGTACTATCTACAAGATGCACGACAGGAATTCACCAAAGATCCTCAGACAGCACCTTCCAAACCCACGACCACTTCCATTTAGAAGGGCAAGGGCAGCAGACATATAGGAACACCACCACCTTCAAGTTCCCTTCCAAGCCACCCACCATCCTGACTTGGAAATATATCGCCATTCCCTCGCTGCCGCTGGGCCAAAATCCTGGAATTCCCTCCCTAATGGCATTGTGGGTCAACCCACAGCAGATGGACTGCAGCAGTTCAAGAGGGCAGCTCACCACCACCTTCTCAAGGGCAACTAAGGATGGGCAAGAAATGCTGGCCTAGCCAGCGATGCCCACATCCCACAAATAAATAGAAAAAAAATCTCACCACCATCTCCTCTGGGACAATGACGACATTACCTTTATTTCATCACAAAATCCATTTCCTAGCCACCATACCATCCCTCTTCCTGGCAGCTGCCTGAGAGTGAACTGATCTCTTCAGAACCTTGGTGTCATATCTGTCTCTGAGATGATTTTTCATAACATAGCTGTACCATCACCAAGACGGCCTAGTTCCACCTGCACAACATTACCCAAATTGCAACCCCCCCACCGCCAAAAACTTCATTTGCTGCTGAAACCAAATTCCAGGCATTTGTGAATTCTAAACTTGATTACTTCAACACACTCTGGGCCAGCTCAAATGTTCCATCCATGTAATATTGAGATAATTCAAATCTCTGTTCCTTATGTATGAACTCACATTAAGTTCTATTCACCCATCACCAATGCTCACTGATCACTGGTTAACCAGTACTTCAATTTTACTATTCTCATAGTTGTCTATAAATTCCTCCATGGCATGTACCCTCCCTATTGCTGTAATCTGCCCCAGCTCTACAAAACTCCAAAATATCTGCAATCCTCCAACTCTGGACTGTTGAACATATCCTATTTTAACAGTAGTGGGTGTCCCTGCCATGCCCAAGTCCATATCTCTGTAATTCTTTGTAATTCTCTTTCTTCCTTTAAAATAATCTTTAAGATCCACCTCTTTGGCCAAGTTTTTGGTCATCTACCTTAATATCATCCTATTATTCATAGATTTTGGAAAGGAATTGGATAAGCACTCAAAGAGAAGAAATTTGCAGCCTTTCACAGAGAAGTTCCAGAAGTGGGGCTTGCTGAATGTTCCTGTGATACAGGAGCAACCATAGACATGATGGGCCAAATAGCTTCTTGTTGTGCTGTAACCATTCTAATTCAGATTTTGTTTGACAACACTTCTGTGCCGTTCCTTCAGGAATTTGCTTATGTTAAAGACAGCGTATAAATAATAAGTTGATAGGAAGAGGACAATCTGAACTCCTTGCACTAAACAGCATATCATGGCTATCCCACACTTTTTTTCTAAAGATTTTCAACCAGATCCCCTGGTTGCACTCTAAATGCAGATAACCTACTTCTAGGCTACAAACAGTGCTGCTTTATTTTGATGTAACCTGTTTGATCATGAGAATGGCCAGGGAGCTCTTAGTATTCCTATCCCCTGTGCTTTCCTCAGCAGCAACAGTGAGGTGGAAAGTTTAGCTGATCTGCACTACACACCACTCTTTGAGAGACTAATGTTTCATAGAATGGTCAAAGTCAGATGGTATATCTGATCACATCAGAATGTTTCCTGAACAAGGAGATATCAAGAAAAGAAACAAAGCTATTTTATTTGGGCGAGACCAACTAAAGTCTGGTGCAACATTCAAATGTGTTGCTTGCCTCTATGACTGATGGTAGGTAATTACATTCATGCCTAGAGCCATACAGCACAGAAACAGACCCTTCGGTCCAACTAGTTCATGTTGTCCAAGTTTCCCAAACTAAAGTAATCCCACTTGCCTGTCTTTGGCCCATATCCCTCTAAACCTTTCCTACTCATGTACCCATCCAAATGCCTTTTGAATGTCCTAACTGTATCTGCATCTACCACTTCCTTTGGCAGTTCATTCTACACAGAAACCACTCTCTATGTGAAAAAGTTGCTCCTGAAGTCCCATTTAAATCTTTCTCCTCTCATCTTAAAAAATTGTCCCCTAGTTTTTTATTTTAATACACATAGAATACAAATATTCACGCATGCACATGGAACTGTCTTTTTAACCTTGGTGATTGAATTGGATTTCCTCCTTTATTCTCCATCTAGGTGGATTTTGAAAATCCAGATTATGAAAGGTTTCCTAATTTTAGGAATGTTGTAGGATATGAAACAGTGGTTGGACCTGGAGATGTATTGTACATCCCTATGTACTGGTAAGTAAGCATTAAACTTAACATACTTACAAACTATTGGAGCAAGTTTTCACTCAAAAAGAAATTCATTACTGGATGGTAGGTTAAGTTATTGGAAATTAAAGCAATATACAAATAACGATGTGTTCAGGCACAAATGGGAGGCAGAAACAGCACGTACTGAATCAAATCAAATCAAATCAAATCAAAAATTTGCTTCATGCATTGGTTAAGCTGTATTTGATACGGAAGACTTTACATTTTCCTTAAACAATGGTGGTAGGCGCAGTAAGGAAATCATGTGACATGGAAATCAGGTACACAGGGGCCTTTGGCATTTGTCCTGAAATTTAAAGAAAAAGTGTGTCATTTTCATTCTGTTTGCAATCCTGTGGTGAATTTCTTCATCAAGTGAATCTAAGCAGAATCACGTGATTTTAAAGTATAAAATCTACACCGGTTATAGTTAATCAGAATAATTTATTAGATTAATCAATGCATATAGTTTGATTATGTGACTATAAATGAACTAAACAAATCATAAAACATCAACCTGCCTACTATCTTACAATATGGTAACCAATTAGTGCATGGCAAGATTTAAATGAGGTAAATAGTTAATCTGATTTATTGATGTTGGTCAAGAGATAACCAGTGTACCAGGAGAAACTCCCTGCTTTCGTTCAAATGTTTCCACAGAGACCCTTGCATCCTAAAAAAACTGGGTGAAGCATCAGATGAAAGTCTTGTCTCAATGACTGTACTTCAGGCAGTGAAGCTTTCATTCAATACTGATTGATTTGTCAGATCAAATCATGTTCTGAACTTCTGGAAGAGACTCAGATTGGATTTGAAAACATTACTCAGCTTTCTGATGGTTGCTATTGTTCTGTTATTTTAATTTGCTCTTCTACTTGCAGGCTGTTACAGGAATTTTGATTTTTTTTTAATATATGCCATTTGAACTCTTTAAGTAACGCTCAGCAGTGATAGATTTCTGCCCCTCAAACATGGGCTGGGACTAGATAGAGCATTGTGGTCTGCAATGTATCAGGATGAAACACTGATTCCTTACTGGTGCTACTGATTCCTTAACTGGTACTGCCACAGCTACTACTGCTAATAGCATCAGAGCTGAAACACATATTATGGCAGGAGTAATATACTCTTGTACAATAAAAACCTTTTTGCTTCAATTTCTGGCGAATTATATACCTGTAGTGATGACATCAGTTTCCATAATTCCCTTGCTTCCTTAAGGTCCCTTGCAAGATCTTCAACAGATGCTCTGTACCCAAGAATTTTGGTTGTGTGACTTTGCTGTATTAAAGATTAGATGCATTCACATCTAGAATTATTTTTTAAAGAGTAAATTCTCTCAAATTTATAATGTGCCTACTATGGAAGTGAGGAGCACACTAAGCCAAGGATCTGCCTAGACAGATTTGGCAGCGATCACAAGAGGAGAGTAAAATTCTACCCAGCAGTGGCCGCCTAAAGAGTGGGAATGCCCCCTTGTATTCCTGCCCCTTCCCCAGCCTGTGGAGATTGGTGAAATCTCCAGCACTTCTGCATATCAGACAAGATAATGAATCAGACTCAGTCTGGAGTCCAGCTGTGATCGTGTTACTACCTGGCAACTTGACCTCCAAAAATAGATCACAATGACGCCTTCCAAACATGGTTTTATGCAACACTGGGTGAGAACGAATGGGCAGCTAATAACAATGATTTATTAAATTCTAACAACATGTTGTTGCTGGTAATCCTTAATATTGTTCTAGATCAGTGCCACCATTGTAATAATTTAAATTAATTACAGGTGGCATCATATTGAATCATTGCTTAATGGAGGAATCACTATTACTGTCAACTTCTGGTACAAGGTAAGTGTAGCAAGAGACAAATTTATGTTCTTATATTCAGCCATTTCAAGTCAAGTTCTTGAATATGTTGTCCTGTTCGAAATCTTTGCCAACATTTCCAGGAATTCCTTCAGTCAGGTTCTACTCCATACCAAATTAGCACATTTCAAAGTCACTGTGCCCTCCTCACCTTTCTCAGTCTGGCTGCAGCCTTTGACAAGGATGACCACACCATCCTTGTCCCAATGCCTCCCTGTTGTTGTCCAGCTTGTTGGGAATGCTGTCAGCTGGACCAATTGCATTGAAGAGACTGTATAAATATACATTGTATTGTTCAAACAAAAATACCAGTTTAAAACTGCCACATCATGTTTTTTTTTAATGCAATGTAGAAGAGCAGTAGTCCCTGTTGTCCGACAACTGAAACCAAAATCTGTTGCGCATTGAATGGTGTAAGCCATTCAAATGTTCTGTTTGTAAACATAATGTATCAGTGAAAAAAATTATTTTCATTAGGAGATAAGGTATGAGTCAGGTTCTTCTAACATGTCATGCTGTTAAATCAACACAAATGCAGTGTACATGTAATATTTGAACTTTGAAGGACTTCCGATGTTGACAGGTTAAATCGATTTTCAAACAACAGTGCAGTGGAGCAAAGCTGCTACTAATGTTTCTGTTTATTTTAAGGGTGCACCAACTCCAAAGAGGATTGAGTATCCATTGAAATCCCATCAGAAGGTCGCAATTATGAGGAATATAGAAAAAATGCTGGGAGAAGCTCTAGGAGAGCCACAAGAGGTAAACGTTCAGCTGCTCCATGTTTATTCTTAATAATTCAATGCAAACTAGCAGCAGGCAGCATGAAACACAGTTAACATAGGGATACAATGCAACCAAGCAGACCTACCTGGTTTATAGCCTTTAGTAACAAAATTCTTCTTTAACAGAAACCATTTATTGGTTTTATTCATCCTCAGGATGTGGGAGTCACTGGCAAGGCCAGCATTATTATCCATATCTAATTTTCCTTGAAGATATAGTGGTTGAGCAGTCTTCTTGAGTAGGGCATTTCAGAGAGCAGGTAAAAGTCAACTGAAGCCAAAATATATAGACCTCACAAACTAAAGACAACAGATTTCCTTACCTAAAAGACATTGGTGAACTGAGTAGATTTTTCCATCAATCATTACCATTACAGATGTCTTTAAATTCCAGACTTATTTTCTGAGCTAAATTTCAATTTCCCAGTTAATGTTGTAGGATTTGAAGTCTTGTTAGTCCAATCCTCTGGACTACAACACCCATTTATGATTAATGCAATAAAACACCCCAAGCTGCTTCATGGGCCCATTACAAAAAAAAAGTGACACCAAGTCACATGTGATATTAAATCAAATGATCTCATATAACTGCTCTTTCTGATTTATTTTGTCTATTACAATTTTTAACTCCGGAGGTATCATGTGGTTATGGGTCTTAGCCATTTGCTGAAAATTCTCTACATAAAACAGCTGCAGTAACCTTTACCTGCTTGGTGAGCAAAGCAAAAAGAAACTTGTGTTTACTGAAATACGTAGAAAAAGTGACAACTTCTGAATGATATTTTTCAGCATGCTCTCAAACAGGGCCTTGATTCAACATTTTCATTTAAAAAATAGCACCTGTGACCTGTGGAAGAACAATTAAAGCGTAAAAAGAGATTAGATGTAGAATGTAGCTAATGCTTAGAATTAGAGGTTGGAATGATGGGAAAATAGGTCAAGTAAGATATATGTGACAAATTGTTGCAAGACTGCAGAAAGCTTAGATCATGTTGTGCAATGTTGACCAGAAGTTTAAGACACATTCTGCTTAAAAATAACGAATCAACAACCAAAAGGTGTGAAATCGTGATATATGACCTGTGTTATGGGGATGTTGTAAATTGTTACGTGCTTGTTCACATGCAATGCCTGTGTCACAATCTATAACGGTGTGTATAAGTATTGCCTTGTTTTTGTCCTCATCGGAGACCACAGATCTGACCTTTTGTCAGCATTGGCTTCCTGTGATATCACGAATAAAGCCTCTTTGCCTCGAAGTCTGAACGTGTAATGTGTGATTAAGTTAGTTTCCTTGACAGCGTCACTCCCTCAGTACTATGTAGAGTTTCAGGCTCAGTATGTTCTGAAATGCTGGAGTGGAGCTTGAGCCCTGATTTTCTGACCTGGGTGACAATGTTCCCAACTGAGTGAAAAAGACACTCAAACAAGTGTAGAATAGTACTACATAAATCAATGACAGAACAAGAAATATGCATCCCCATCACTCTCATAATAAGAATTGGAAAACAGACTATCTGAAGTTATTGTGCAGATGTGCTTATAAACATACTTTATACAAGCACCCTAGCATAATCCACAGGTTCCCATTTATTTGGGTGGTATCCTAATTCCTATTTATTTTCTTCCTGGATAGGTTGGGCCATTATTAAACATGATGATAAAAGGCCGATATGATTAACTATCATCCTGTCAACTGTTCAGCAACACTTTCTTGGAGGAAATGGCACCGGACTGAGCATATTGTATACAAGCATTACACGCCTGGACTGAATGCAGATGCAGGAAATTCTTCCTCTTGTTCAAAGTTGGCTGCCATTGATTGTTGAAATGAATTTTTATATCCACCATCTGTGTGCCTGTCAGACAGAAGATTCTGCCAACTGAAGTCTGATATCAATTGATTGGCACATTGCCCTAGATACGTTATAGCACTGAGTGTGTATGTAGACCACATTCCACCAATTTATATGGTTTTAAGTTTCTTTTTGAAACAGAAACAAAACTGAGCGCTTTGTGCCGATTCTGTTGGAATGGTGGTATTGGGCTAAATGCTGTTGGTTTCTTTGCATGACTCTGAAACAAGAGAAGGCTCCTCCATAGTTGAGCTTATAAATTGGCTACTTTTGATTTTAATAGCTCATAATTTATGATCAATTCCTGTGACTTACACTCATGTCTTAGAATACTTGGTTTGAAATATTAAAAAGTGGCAGAGGCAT